TCCAGCTCTACACCTTGTTATCCAGGAAAACAGCATCTTTTTGTGAATATGCTTGCTTTGTGACCATGACACAAAGATCAGAGTGTAAAATCATTTTTAATTTATTAAGGGAAAAAAAACAGAGGGATGAAAAAAGATAGTAACAACAGAAGCATGCTTGGCACACTACCCTTGTTCCTACTTTAATTATTCCCATCTGTATTAAGTTTCACTGCTGCTCCAGAGATTTAAAGATCTTTTTCCTCACAATCAAATATTTCCTTGGCCTTCTCCCTCTCTCTCTAACAGTGATCACCTCTAGGACTGTCTATTCGTGCATTCCTTGATTTTACAGTATTGATCTACCTACTGTTGCTTACACCCAGTGTTCTCTGACCAACAGCTACGCTTTCAACAATTTCACTCCCATTCTCAACACCTCTGCCTTAATGCTTTATTTTGCTTTCAAAAGCCTGTCAAATATTCATCTGTAATCTTACATTCATCTCATCTAATTTGTCTCATTCCTTTCTCATTCTGATCAGTTATTAGCTACCTGCTCTGAAAGCACACTGTAGTGTTCCCAACTGACAGACATTTACTCAATTGGTTGTACAGAATTTGGAGTATTGCTGAAAGAAGGACACATTTTTTTCAAGTGTTTTCATCTCGTACTCATCAGGACAATTCATACTAAATACCAAAGTAGTGGGAATACAACATTGATAATGTATGAGAAGAGAGCACTGATTATTTTGTATTTGGACTCTATCTAGTAAAGGCATTTTCATAGAGAATGCACTAGTTAATTGTGACTGACATTTAACTGCTAAACTTGGTTTCAATTTTAAACTTGGGTAGGTTAATTCTGATTGATTAAGACACTGCCCTGAGAAATGAACTAGAGAATGGTTATCACCAATTTCATTAAGTTGAAACAAGCAATGTATGTGTACATGCTTTTTCTCTCGGCAAATCATGTTATTAATATAAGCAGCTTCTAATGCACACAAATGTGCCGCACTGTAAGCCTGACTAATAATCCTAAAATAGCTGTCAGCATTATTCTTTGCACACTCAGGTTAGTCAGCAAATGGTATCTAATCATAGAATCACATGTAATTTCATTTCTGTTAACATCTTTTTGGTTTGATGCCAGCATCCTGTTAGTAACAAACACCACTTGTGTTCCTGCTGAAGCAGTGTAAAACTGGGATCGTAGGACATACATCCCAAAGACTGGACACTCTCTTGTACTGTAGAAATATTAGTGATTGAATTTGCCACTTAAAAATAATTTAGTCAACTTCACAAGTAGAAATACTTATCCTGTAGCATTATTACCCTAATGCCAGCTCCTAAGAAACCAGAATTATGTTTAGTTCAGTGTTAGTGTCGATTTTTACGCTCATCACAAGAAAACTGTGATGAGTATAAAACAATACAGCAAATCAATCAAGAAAAAAAAGATTAGTATTCATTTCATTATATTTTTGATCTGTTCAACCTTGACTTTATTAATTTAGTTGCTTTTTGCATTAAATCTTCATGCTGTTCATGCAGATTACCAGTCAAAACCATATCTTCTTGAAACATGTCTTCTTGCCACCTCGACTCGCTGGTATCTGAGATCTCATAGCCAAGGCTCCTGAAGACGCGTTCACTCTCCTGCCATGTCTTTTGAAAATTCTTCCGCAATTCTTCTGTTGTGTTATCAGCTGATATATCTAATATCTGTCCTGAAATTACATCTTCATAAGTTGGTGGTGCATGCCTAGAATCAATGCCTGAAAACATTTCAGAGTGCTGAATTCTAGTTCTGGAGCCAATTGCTTCAGTTTCAAATCCGTCCACATGTGCAAACTGCTTATTAATTGCATCAGGATATAGCAAGGATTGTGTTGATGTCTTAACCCCTTCCTTGACGTTCTGAGAAATTTTAGATTTCTGCAAAGGATTTCCATTTCCCTGGGGATATTCATGTTTCACAGGAATTGTAATTTGACCAGAGCATTCAGCTTGAGGCTTGACAGATTTCATATCAAATGTTGGCATTTCCTCAAATGCAGTTTTTGTCCCAAATGGATTATTTTCACTAGCTGTTCCTAATCTTTCAGTGATTATAGCTGGCTCCTTTTGAAAATAATTTATTTGTTCTGGTATTTCAAACTTATTAACAAGTTCTGAAAGATCTACTTTTGGCATCTGAACATTCTGCTTGTTAACAGCAGATTCAGACTCCTCGGTGTCAGAGCCCAAACGTTCAGGAATGTCAATGGGTTCCTTACGTATATACACTTTGTTTTCTTCTGACCTTCTAGCCTCTTCAAACATTTCTGTTATATCCTTAACTGCAACGGATGATACAGGAGATTCATGTTTAGGTAACATATCTGCTACTGGTGTGTCAATCTTTAACTGTCGTTGAAGAGTTGCTGGTGATGGAATAATTTCTGACCTCTTTTCTGCCACCTGAACATGTGTAGACTGCATAGACTGTGAAATTCCCTGTGACAGTTTTGCTGTAGTATCTTTAAGTTTGGCAAGCTGATCATAACGTTTGACTCGTGGTGGAGAGGCTGATGATGTGGACGACGTACGAATTCTGGATGTTTTAATTTCTGAGCTACACATCGGGAGTGGAGATGTTGGTGTAGGTTCCTGTTGCACAGTGTATGGTGTGCAGTATTGCTTCTGAGAGAGTAGTGGAGAGGTAACAGCTCTAAGAGGTGATTCAGTGCGCCTTGCTGTTGATTCAATAGTGATGTAAGAAGGGGATGGTGATGACATTCTTTTTGCTGGAGACTGGGCTCTCTGCTCTGCAAGTCCAATTTCACACAACTGTTGTTTTCTACTTTCACATACTCGCTCTTCTGCATTGCTTTTTCCTTGGTTATCTAACTTGCAAGAGCCAATGCTTATCTTGGAAATCTTCTGTGAAGGTGCACTACCACTAAATGTTTCTACTTCAGGTTTTAAACCAGACATAGAAATCAATGCTTTTTTTATTGATTCGTCAAGGTATGCAAGCCTTAGTAATGCCTTCTGTTTGATCTGTGTTAGTTCTTTTTTCAGTATTTGCAAATCATTTCCTTTGATAACCTTCATTGAAAATTCACGGCCATCTGTCAGCCATTTAGGTACCTTTTCCAAAAAGGCTTGTATTGTATTTAAATCTATGTTGTCATTCTCTTTTTCAAACTGAATCAGTTGGAATAAAATATTTTGCAATTCCTCATGCTTTCTGTAACTATCACTAATTTCTACAGAATGTTCAGCGACATTCTTATCAAATTTCTTTTTATGTGTAGCAGTATTTCTACTTTTTCTACTTTCTTTGTCCTCCAGTTTTGTATCTTCCATGTGAGCAGGGACCAGCCCTTGCTTGCTATTTGTGTCTTGTAAATAGGAAACTTGCTCTTCTGTTGCCTGGAAAGAGCCCTGGTCAGCTTTCTGTTCAGTCAATTTTTTTGAAATTTGCATTTCTTTCCAATCATGGTGTTTTTTCACATGTGCCAAAGGCTTTTGATTAGTTGCTATTAAGTCACTTTTCTGCTGGTCTTGTTCTCCTTGATATTTCGGAAATGCCTCCTTCTGAGCCATAACACGAGGTTTCTGTATCTTTTCACTCTTAATTTCTTTAGATACCCCCACTTTGTCCTTCTTTTGCTGTACTTGCTGAGTTTCTTTTAAATTTGCTCTGTGTGACTGTCGGTTGTACTGTTGTATTACCTTCTTATCTTTTACTTGATCCTGTGCCACATTTGTTGTGAGTGTTTGTGCAATAGTTGTCTCTTCAATTTTCTCATCCTTCTCTTCAGTTACTGGTTTGTAATATTCACCCATATGATTATCTTGTTGAACAATAATGTGATGCTGCTCTTGTTCAGTCATATCCAATTTGTTATTTTGTTTTACCTGAAACTGTTTGATGATAGTTTTCTCTGGACTTTTATTTGCTTCTGGTTTCAAAATTTGTTTTTGTTTCTTTTTATAGGACAATACATTTTTTTCCTGTTCTTGCATTACTTGACTCTCTTTAGGTGGCTGAATAGTTTTAACCTTAATTTTTGATGAAGATGCTGAATGAGGCTTTAGGTGACTAGATTGTTCTCGTGTCTTTTTATGTATCTCATTGTCTTGTTTAATAGTTTCCAATCCAATATCTTTCACAGAATCTTTAAATGCATTAAATATCTCTTCTTTATGACTGATTACATTGTTAGAATAATTTAAGATATTGTGCAGATGCTTTGAAGCTGCTACCACTGTTGAATGGGATGGAGAATCAGACGACACTGTGTTTGCAGTGATCAAATCTTTTGCAGTCGAGGCCTCTGAAGTTTTTGGATAAGTTGGGTATTTTTCAACAGTAGTCATGGTTTCCTTTTCCATTGCCTGGCTAGCTGGAGAAGTCAGCTGATCAACAACTGATGTGATATTTGGTAAAGCTGAAGACTTCACTGTAAGGCTGTTTTCAGATTCTGCTTTAGTTGGGCTTTGCAATGCTGCTGTAGTGAGCTTACCCGTGTTGATCGGCCAAGCCATTTTAGCTGCTTTGCTTTTTTCCATTTCTTCTCTCTCTTTCCTATATTTTTCTTCCGCAATCATTAAAGGAGTTTTAAATTTCCTGGTATAGGGCTTGGGTTGTGGCTTTGCAGTTTTTGTTTTGATTGTATGATCTTGTGGCATAAACACTTTGTTAGCAGGAGGAACCTGTGCTTGCTTTTTCTGTGCTGGTTTTTGAGCAGTTTGTATTACGGGTTGATGGAGTGATGATTGTCCAACTTGTGGACATGTTGAATGCTGAAGAGGTTCATGTTGTTTCTCTTGTGTGGGTTGATACTTCTGCTGTTGAATGTCTTGCTTTGATGATATAGAATCCTCAGGCATGATTACATTTGATTTTGAAACAAGGTTTTTCTTAGGTTGCTGTTTTGATTTGCTGTATTCAGTGTTTGGCATTTTCGGTGAAGACTGTAGTTTTGATGCCTTATTAACCAGTTTCCTTTGCTGGGAAGGTGACTGGGGAAGGCATGGCGGTAGTAAATTTAAATCAGACTGTGAGGGAAATGGAGAAGGATGTCCTGCCGCGAACATTTCCTGGACCATAGGCGTAATAGGACTTATGGGGGGAGGGGGAGGGGGTGGAGGTGGAGTAGGAAGAGGAGATGGAGGGAGATCAATTTCATACATCTCTGGTTTTATGTGAACTAATGGTGGTGGCGGTGGTGGGAGAGGAGACATTTGAGCATCTTCTTCTACATGTGAAGGAAGAGGAGGAGGGGGAGGAGGAGGAGGAAGTGAGAGCTCACCATCAGACATTAGGGGAATAGGTGGAGGTGGGTGGGGAATTGAAAATTGAACCCCTGGTGTTCGCTTTTTGTCCATTTTCACATGACTTATTTCTTTCTTCGTAGTGTTTTGAGATTTACTATCCATCCTGTTTGTAGACATTTGTAATTTTTCACAAGACATCATTCCAGAATTGATCTTAGGTGCAACTTCTTTATTTACTCTCTGACCATGGTCACCCATATTTTTAATCAATTGTTTGTTACTTTTAGTTTTCTGTTTTCTTCTTACATCATATTCCCTAATTGATTGAGATGCAGAGGTCTGAGCTGTCTGATTGGATATTTGTGCCATGTGCTGAAGAGTACTGGTGTTCTGAATATGTTGAGAATTCACTTGTGCAAGTAATGTATTAACATCTAAACAGATCTCAGCAGTTGGTTTTTTAACAATCTCAGCAGTCCTTGGTGATTGCAAAGTATGTTGACCATCTGTTGTGATTGAAACCTGCTGTTTAGGTATTTGTCTGTCAACTGAACCAAAGTTTTCTCTTATTTTGCGTGCATTATATTTATCATCTGTAGACTTAGCTCTGGTTGCTTGTTCACGTTGTGGTCTACCATATTTCGATATCCTGCTGGTAATGTGCACATCTGACATTTCCTTTCTGTCTTCTTCAAAAGCCTCATGGACATTATCGTGATGTTGCTTATCAGGTGATAAAAGCGATTGAACTTCCTGATGCACATCCCTTTTCACTGAATCATTAGTCTTCAGATTAACTTTTTTAATACCCTCATGTTGTTCAGCAGTCAATTCTGTCCACATTGTTGTGTTGACATTTTTTGTAATATCTATTTTCTTTTGTTTTTCAGTTGCCAACTGAGATTTTATAGACCCTTGTGCACCTCCTTTGTGGCTAATACCCTTTGCAAAAGTTATCTGTTCTTGGCCTTCCTGATGGGTTTTTAAGTCATTTTGAACAGCTTCTGTTTCACTAGCCTGAACCAGCTGTCCTGATGACTGCTGTAGGTTTTGGATAGTTGCTTTTATATCTCTTCTATTGCACGTCCAATGTGCCTCTTTCTTTTCAGAAGCTGTTTCCATTAAATTTGTCGTAGAGGTTTGAAGGTCAGTTTTCATTATGATTTCCTTTTCAGCCTGTTCCTTTTTGTCTTGTGTTTTATCCAAACATTTGGATGTACATTTAAGATCACCATCTGGCTCAACTACTTCAATCCTCATATTTATTGACTTTTCTAGAGAATCTAAAGTACCTTTAATGTCTCCGGGAATAATTTCAAATTTTTCAGCAATTTTTTTTTGAGATTTTGCTTCTTCGAGAGACTTTAAAGTTTCAGATAGATTACCACGTACAACCTCTTCCTTTGCTACTTGTGTGGGTTGATTTATGGCCTGATTAAGTGAATGTAAAGCCACTCTTAAATCACCTCGCACAATTTCTTCCTTTTCTACATTGGTAAATACATTTTGGTTTTCTGCCATAAAAGTCAGCATTGCATTTTGGACATCACCACATAAGATTTCTGATTCTGCAACTGTACGTTCAATATGCATTTGTTGGTGCTTAAGCTTTTGTTTGGCACCTTCAACATCTCCATGTATTACTTCCTCAGACTTTTGTTGAGTCACAGCAATTTCATCAGTCTCCTGTTGAAGTAATTTAAGATAGTCCATTGCTCCCGATTCAATACAAGTTGTGTAAAACTGAACATTTCCCTTTTCAGTGTCATTTACCTTAACTTTCTGTGAATTTTCACTGTTCTGAGAAGTAGCTATAAGTTTATCAATTGCAGCTTGTATATCACCTTTTATGACTTCATCTTGCTGAAATTTGTTATCATCTGCTCTATTGAGAAGAGAATAGATTGTCATCTTCACATCTCCTTTCTCACTCTCTTGAATCAGAATCCCCCTTTTTGCAGAATTGTCATGACTAAAAAGATTGTTGATAATTTGCTGAATATCACAACCAATTATTTTTTCTTTTTCTATGTTAGTATTTATTGGCTTCTTAAAAAGTTGTTCTCTTGTCAGATTAATGTTACCTTTTTCATTAGTGTCTATCGTAATCCCTTTCTCTGTAAATTCTTTTTTGCATAGCAGTTCCATCATTATTTTTTGGAGATCACCTCTGACAATCTGTTCTTTTTGTATCTCTGGGGATGTTTGGTTTAGAAGTTGATATTTTGCCATTCTGATATCTCCAACCTCATCTGCTTCAATGAGGATTCCTTGGGATTGAACAAGTTTGCAGTCATAAAGTGACTTAAGTGTTTCTTTAATATTTTTTCCTATTATTTCAGGTCTTTCTACAGGATTTTCAGTGAATTGGTGCAAAGGCGTAGTTTCAAAAAGCCAGGTTGTAGTTTTAACATCCACCTGTGGAATTTCTTCAAGTATTTTTGTATTTCTTTCATCAATTTCTTTTATGCTGCTCAATGGTTGTTTTTCAAAAAGCCATATGGCCTGTTTTACATCTCCTTTTTGTATGTCTTCTCGTCCAACTGTCTCAATCTTTTCACATTCTGAATCTTCCCCTTTTATCTCATCAATGGTATGTGACTCAAAAAGCCAAGTAGCTGTCCTTACATTACCATGCTGTATTTCACTGACACTGACTGTTCTAACATATTTTTGATCAAGATCTGTCTCAAATAGTTGAGCACTGGATCTCACATCACCACCTTGTACATCAGAGACTGTTTTGACAATAACTTTCTCATGATCTGTAATTTTGTCCAGAGGCTGTGTTTCAAATCTCCAACGTGCAGAAGTAACATCGCCTTTCTGAATATCTTCTTGTGTTACAGATTTGATGACATACACTTCGTCAGTTTCTTTAATTAAATCCAGTGGCTTAGTTTCAAACAGCCATCTAGTGCCCCGTACATCTCCACTAATTATTTCCTCCTTCCGAACAGTCGTTACTTCATGATAACAGCCTTCCTTATCTTTAATGGCATATAGAGGCTGAGTTTCAAACAACATAGTGTAGTTTTTAACGTCCCCTTTTTCTATTTGTTCCATGCTGAACTTTTTAAGGTCTGTGTTTTCTGATGACTCATCTTTAATTTGATCTAGTGAAAAGGTCTCAAAAATGAATCGCCCTTCATCAACATCCCCACCCTGAACATCTGTGATTGTACGAAGAATTGCTCGTTCTTCAATATTTTCTTTTATAGCATCTATTGGATGATTTTCAAAAAGCCAAGTACAATTAATTACATTACCTTTCTGAATATCTTCTGCCGTCGTAGATCTAATTTTTTTCAACACCTCTTCTGAACTGGAATTTATCAGATCAAGAGACTTATTTTCAAAGATCCACTTCTTACGAGATACATCCCCTGATTGTATATCTATTTCAGTCACCCGCCTAAATTCTTCCTTCTCTCTTTGTATATTTCCCAGGGGTTCAGTCTCGAATAGAAAACGGGTCATTCGTACGTCATTTCCCTGGATGTCTTCCTGCTGAACTGTACGCACTGTTAGAATAGTTTCTGAATTATCTTTTATTGCATCTAAAGGCTGTGTTTCAAATAACCAGGTACAAGTTTTTACATCCCCTCTCTGAATCTCATCAACTTGGTTTTTAATATCTACTTTTTCATACAGAGCATCCATTGGCTGTGTCTCAAACAGCCATCTGCAAGTTTGTACATCTCCTCTAATATCATCATGTTGCTTTGTTATAATTTCTTCACCTTCTACATTGCTAAAATATTTGATAGCATCAAGTGGTTGTGTTTCAAAGAGCCACTTAGCTGTCTTCACATCACCGGATTGTATTTCTTCTTTGGATATACCTTTAATGATTTGAAACTTTTGAATACTTTCATCAAATTGATCAATAGGGGTTGTCTCAAACATCCATCTACATGTTTGAACATCACCCCTCACAATTTCTTCTCTACTCACAGTTTTGACCTCATGGTAGTGTCCAGCACTATCCTGAACAGCATATAGAGGAGTTGTTTCAAATAAAGTTCTATTTGACATCACAGCACCACTAATAACACCATCCACTTGAATTTTTTTAGATTCATCAGTGTGACTTAAATTCATAGTTTCAAACAACTGTTTGTAATTGCTGACATCACCTTTTTTGATTTCTTCCAGATGAATTGTTTTTGCATATTTTTCCTTCTCCTCCCCAATCATCTCAAGTGGCTGGGTCTCAAAAATCCATGTCTGGTGCCTCACATCCCCTTTTTCCTCTTCAGTAGCAATCACATGTTTAATCTTTCCAGTATCTGGGCTGCCCTTTAATGTGTCCATGGGAACAGTCTCAAATAGGAGTTTGGTTGAACGTACATCACCTCCGATTATTTCTTCAGTTTCTATAGGTTTTGCATTATCGTTGTCTTTTAGGGAGTCAAATGGTTGGGTTTCAAACATCCAGCACTGTCTACTAACATCAGCACCTTGTATTTCTTCTTTATGCTTGACTGTAGTGTCTGTTTCTAACTGTTCTTTAATGCTATCTAAGGGATGCGTTTCAAATAACCATTTAGCTCTATTCACACCACCTTGATTAACCTCTTCCCTAGAGATACCACATACAACCTTTATACTTGAAACATCCTTATGAATCATATCTAAAGGTTTTGTCTCAAACAGCCAGAGTGCAGTTTTTACATCTCCTCTTTCAATCTCCTCTCTTTTGACAGTTTGGATTTCTAGCACTTGGCCAGACCAATCCCTAATAACATAGAGTGGTTGGGTTTCAAATAACTTTGTTGTTTTTTTCACATTTCCTTTAATTTCTTGAACTTCAGTTTTCAGTTGCAGGAAATTCATTTCATCTACTGAATCCAAGTGCCCAAGTGTATCAAGGGACTGAGTTTCAAATAAATATCTTGCAGTTTTGACATCACCAGCAGTAATATCTTTTGCAGTAGACGTTTCTATTGCCAGTTCATCTTCTTGATGAATTTTATTCATCGAATCAAGTGGTTGTGTTTCAAATAACCAAGTGGCAGTGCGGACATCTCCTCTTGCTAATTCAGGTATCTTACCAGTGTTTTCTGTTGATTCCGGAGAACTTACACCAAGTGTATCAATGGCTTGAGTCTCAAACATCCAAGTTGTATATTTCACATCACCTCCTGCTATCATTTCTTGTTGTGAAATGCACTTTGCATCACTTTGGTCAGGGGTTTCATCCTTGATAGAATCCAATGGTTGAGTCTCAAACATCCAGCGCATTGACTGTACCTCTCCTTTTAGGATCTCATCCCATTCTAAATACTCTCTCTCTGGGCTCATACATTTCTGGGGGCTATGACCAGTGTGTTCAAAAACATACTTAGCCTGTTGTACATCCCCCATTACATCCTTATCTTTTGATTCATTTGTCACAATTTCACTGATCTCTTGTATAAATTCCTTTTCCAGGTTCTTTCTCACTCCTGGATTGATATGTTTATACAAACGTTTTAGCTCATAAAGATTTCTTTGCTTTGAATACAGGTCCTTGGGAATGATTTGTTTCGTTGCAGAGAGGGGGGGTTCAGGAGATTGCAAAAAATAAGTTATCTCTGATGGTGCATTGAGTAAATCTGGTGGTGGAGGAGGGAATTCTTCCATGTTTCCACAGTTACTGGAGCCAACAGAAATTGAAGCAGCTGTACTGTCTATTTTCCTTAATGTTGTAACTTCAGAAATCTTGCCAGTAGTGGACATGTTGGAAGTAGAAACAACAGGAGGCCACTGCATCTCTTGGAAGTTATGCTCTGTCTTAATGGAAAAGTCAATAATCATGTTGAACAATGTAAAGTTTTTGTTGCTGTTTCTAAACATGCAGTTTAGAAGTCTGCTTGGCATCAACCTTCATGCAATGTAATATCAATCTGCCATCTTCATGATATTCCATGAAGCATTCTATTTCAGTCACAATGCAATTTCAACAAAAATGAAAGACTGTTTTGTTATATTGTTATGTTTCTTCAAATCCTTCTCTGCTGCAGATTTTAAAAAAAAATAATTCCATTATTGGATAGTAGGCATAATTAAGAAAGCCATGTGATGTGAAACTGGTTTCTTACCTCTTTGTTTTCTTCCAAACATCCTTAATTTCACCATTATGTCTCCTTTTCATCCCTAATTGGATGACTTAGTGAAACAAAAATACTTAATAAAGGGGGAAATGAAGATATGAATTATAATATTCACAAAATGATAGGAAGTGAAAAAGATAATGATGTGCAGCAGAGAAAAGAAATGTTAAAGATTAGAAAGAAAACACAGACATAAAGTTAGAAAAAATGTACTCTTTCAAATGACACTTTGTATTTCAAATGCACACATCTTACTTTTGTAAGTTTTATCAGTAAACAAAGTTATTGGTCATTACTGTCAATGTGCACACATTCAACAACACAATAATGGGTACCTTAATCTTTTTGGTGGTGTTAGTTGCCATTTGAGTAGGCTGGGCTGTTTTTTCAAACTGCTCTTTTAACAGCTGAGTGGAGATTTTTGGCTTTTCATCTTCAGTCATTCCATCCACTGTTCAAATATTAAAAGGAATATGCGAAAAATTATTCTTCGAAGATAAGAAGAAAGCAAAGTACAATCTCCCACAAACTCCCAAATGGCTCAACAATTTTATTTTATGTGATTTTTGAACCAAATCCTTCACAGGTGCTGTCACTGCTCCTTGCAGACTAACCTGCCAAAAGTGAAGTTTGAATGAAAAAATATTGGCAATTCATTCCAGCTTTTCCATTAAAAAACAAGAAAAATCAATGCGACACTCTCAGGTGCAAGTTCTGTCAGTATTTGTTAAGATATCAGAATTGGAAATTGTAATCCATTCTTTAGAGTAACGTAACATAAATCCATATGCAGAGCATCAATGTTAACATTGGAGTCATCTTAAATTGGCATTCATTCCATCTTGACCCTCCTGGGAACAATTTCTCCCTTATGATTATCTCTGCCCAAACCCCTGACAATTTTGAATGCTTTCAACACTTCACTGTTGAGAGGATAACATTCCCAACTTCTCAGCCCAAAATTCAGACCTTCCACAACTGCAACGCCAGACTGCCATCCCAAGAGTGGAGGGAAAATCTAGCCTAAGGGATTTTGTATGTACATACTGTCATTTGACAGTGAAGAACGGTATTAATTAGCATCCAGTTTTGGTTGTCAAGTTCTATGGAATTTCATATGAGTTTTAGTTATGAATGGATTATGGTAGCTTGAAGCTCCAAGTGATTTAAGCTGAAGCATATGACATTAATAAACCATTGCTGTGGTACTTGTGCGTATAATACTTGTGCGTAATAATAATATGCACTTACCACTGAAATCATTGAAGTGATTTTCAAAGTTGCCCACTGTACTTGACAGATGAGTATTCTGTTCCATAACAGAAGCCTGCAGAAACATGTCAAGTTTACTGGTACTATATTGATTGGAAACAGAATGCAGTAGAACACATCAAATATGTAACAATTACACACTAAGCATTTTGACCTATCAAAAGCTAAAATCAATTCTCATTTTTAAAGTAGTACTGTGTTAGATAAAGTTAATTCATTGAATTTCTTAGGTTTTAGCTTTCAAATCTATAAAAGCCATGTGTTACAAAAAGAAAAGTACCACAGATGCTGAAAATCTGAAATAAAATCAGAAAATACTGGACACACTTAGCAGAAATAACAGTTCCTGTAAACAGTGAAATTAAGTGAATGTATGGTACACCTTAACAGATCTGCACACAGTGGGGAGAATGATAGGATGTGGAAACCTGGTTGATTCAGCATTAAGTTTTATTCTGGCTTTTAAACTCAGCCACAGCATTAACATCACGCATCTGGGTTTTCTGCCCAATCAGAGATGGTAAGCAGGATTGCATACTAAATCTGTCAAAGGAAATATTTCTCTTTAGAAGGATCCTGGAAGCAGTCAAACTTGCTGAACTGTATATTGATTCCTGCGGTTTCAGCAATGAAAGGAATGGACAGGAAATTTCAGAAAGCTACCCCTCCAGAACTCTGACTCTTCCTAGAGGTTTTACTACTGGACCTGAGTGATTAAATGAGGCGACATTTTTCTAGGAAGGGAGAAAAACACCAACACACAAATCCAATGCACATTCATTGAAATAGTCAAGAAAGTGAGCATCAGGTGTTTTATCCCTTGAACTTGGAGCCACTGTCTCAAGAGGTTCAAGGAGCATAGAATGGCAGGGAAAGTGAATGGCATAGCACTTTCAGGAGCCAACCACTCAGACTGACATGCAGGTGTGGGTGGTAGGTCAGGACGGAGAATTCTCAAGTGGCAAACACAGTAGCTACCACTGGCAAAATGTATTCACCTTGAAGGACGCATTATGCAAAGAGACAATGAGTTGTCATGAAAGACTTAAAGGCCTGTGAGTGGTATATGCCCTGCCCAATCCACAGGTCACTGTCTTTCCATTGAGTTCTATATTTTGTTCTCTTACCAGGAGAGAAAGCAAACAGCCATGAGTCTTTGAACTGGCTTGTGTGGAGAAGAAAGATATTTGTCAGGAGTGACTGTGAGACATGTGCAAACAGGCAACAGATTAAGGTTAAGTGAGCATGTTGGCTGCTCAGATGGTGATGTGAGAAGGTGCCTGGTGAGATAGGGATGAGGAGTACTGGGGAAGCCACAGTGTGAGTCTTTACATCTGAAACTGTTGTGCCAACACCTTTCCCATATTCCTTATGTCTTTGGACCTGTTGGGGAATTTTATCCAGGTTCAAGGGACCAAACCCCTGCTGGCTACTCTTCCACTCATACTTGGTTTGAGAATTTGGATTCTTCCCTCCATCATTGGGAAACATCACTTTACTGCAATCGCTTACATGCCAAATTAGGACATACGGGTAAAAGTCAGAGACAAGGGCTAGCTTTCCCAGTTGTGCTCACCATTCTGTGCTTGCTTCAGCTTCAGGAATTATATCCAGTTGTGCTTTTTTGATTCATGCCAAAGTCCCTTGAATTATAAATCTTTGCATTGACAGATTTATCACACCATTCAAACGGCCGGTCCTATTTGGTGAGGCATACAAAGTGGAATACTAACACCATCAGTTAAGACATCAGGCAAGCCTGCTGCAGATCTCAATAGATTTCTGACCAAATCACCTATTCTGCTCCTACTTCCTATGGTTTATTAACTCAGTTCTTTTGTCCACGTTTGCTGTCAGACAAACTGAGCATGTCCCACACTCTGTTCTAGCTAATTGTATTTAAGTAATGCTGTATAACAAAGTGAAGTCTTTGGAAAACAACAATAGTTTTCAGTTTTAGCTCTAATCCATCACATTATGTGTTAAAGATAGACCCATGTAGAACAGAATTTAAATTTAAATAACATCCTATTGTGACAGTGCACTATTACCGTTTCCATTTTGTAGGTTAAAAGCTGTTCAGTTGTTGATGGTAGACCATCTGTCTGATCAGTTTTCCTAGTGCTGCTGTTCACTTTAACTTTGCTGGTGCTTGTCACATCCTGAAATATGTAGTGCAAGATGAAACATTGAAAAATTTTCACAGAGGTAAAGCCTGGCATCTATAAATAAAAGCTTTCTATTCAAAACATCAGTCGCAAAATATCTGCTCAGCATGACAATCACTGCCACAGCCATTTTTTTCACAGAAATCAAAATCAAATAGCTTATTTTATACATATTGACCCCCACGTGCATAAAGCGGGCACAGATATGCGCAGACACAGTTCATCAAAGACATGGTGAATGGCAAGTGTTTTTATTTCCTAGGTTGGGGGCATATCTTGAAGGTGAGAGGAGAAAGATTTAAAAAAGCCAAGAGGGGCAACTTTTTTTACACAGAGAGTGGCTCGTGTGTGGAATGAACTTCCAGAGAAAGTGTAGATGAGGGTACAGCTACAACATTTAAAAGACATTTGGATAAGTACATAAATGAGAAATATTTGGAGAGATATGGGCCAAGTGCAGGCAGGTGGGACTAATTTAGTTTGGGATTATGGTTGGCATGGACTGGTGGACCAAAGGGTCTGTTTCCATGCTGCATGACTCTATGACATGCAAGGGTTAGTGTATTTGAGTCAGTTTCCATACAGGTAAAGTTTTCATCCTTTTAGATCCTTAAGAACTGCACCTTCACTAGGCAATGGCGGAGGAGTTTGAAGTGGAGGCGGAAGAGCTTGATGATTCCAAGCCCAGAAGTAAAATCTAGTCCACAGTGTCCATTCATAACAGATGGAAATAATGTTTTACATATGGTGGTAGCAAAGCTTTTGGAATGAAATTGTCATTGTTTATGAGTGGCACAAATCTCCAATATACCTCTGGAGTTCAGGTCTCAAGACAATCCTAATGACATGAGGCATCTGCTCTATGAGTTTGTCAGTGTAAGCATTTTATGTTATATGGCTTTTAAAAACAGCAAATACAACTAGATTGCAACATCCTTGCACCTCATATGATGGCTAACAGGTAAGTCAGTGTTTCTGAAAATGTGGGTTGTAACCCCTAGTGGGCTTGCAGTTAAGGTATTTGTGATCTCCCTCTTGCTAAGGCATCATTGGAAACTGTGAAAAGATGATTCCAGTGGGACAAACCCAGATCTCCTGCTAAACAACTAAGGGACACAAGGTAAGCCCAAAGCAATCTTTAACATTAGGAGACACTTGTAGAAATAAGTGCCAAATAGTCCTGGGATGTCTATGCATCAATGTACAGTTCTGAATAAGGTCACTGGACCTGAAACATTAACTTTGCTTTCTTTCTACAGATGCTGCCAGACCTGCTGAACTTTTCCAGCAATTTCTGTTTTTGTTTCTGATTTCCGGCACCTGCAGTTTTTTTTTGGTTTTTATGTTTCTGCATCAATTTGTTGCAGGCAGAGGAAAACAACTGTAACTCAGTGACAAATTATGACAGGTAAATCCAGGAAGCCATGTAGCTGAGCTGGAAAGGTGAATGGCAGTTTCTAGCTTTATGGTGCTTCTGATCCTGTCTGACTATTGTCCAGGCTCCTTAACCTGGGCTGACAACTCTACTGAGCAGACACCACAACTATCAAAAAGATGGGGAAAGCTGGCAGCGGGAGTGTGGTAGGGGAAGACTGGCTGATTGCTGTGTGCGAAGGGGAAAGATTTAGATTTAGATTTTATTATCACATATACTAAGTATTGGAATACATGAGTACAGTGAAAAGTGCATTTCCTGGTGCCATCTTGGTTACAAAACCAGAATTAAATATTTAACAGAGTCAAAAGGTAAAGGAAAAAAAATCCAATTCTCAAAACTCAAAGTCTCATCTCCATAAATGTGCTTGGAATGCTCATTCATGGTGCAGGCACCTGGACCGAGCTCCAGCCTGGAGTCTAGGCCAGCCCATGAGTCCCGCCCAGAGGAGGCGCACTTTCACCAATAAGGTAATTACTGTGCATGATGTGCAGGGGACTGATTAATATATGTGTGTGAGGGAGGAGTGGGTGGGGTAGAAGAGACTTGATTGTAGTTTGAAGGGGCTTCAGTAAGTCTTCTGCCACTGATGAATATGGAAACATTGGTCGAAACCTAAGTAAGTACATATTATGACATTTTTACTGAGCACTTTAAAAAACAGATTTTCATATTTTAAATGATGTATTTATTATATGTTGATTTATAATACATGTATGTTAATGAATATAAATACTGAATTTACTGTGTTCCTTTATCACTTGTTTGTTGACATCTGAGGTCATATTAAAATCTAAATTTTAATTTGGGATATTAACCTAGGAAGCATTGATGCAGGTACCATTGTATTCTTTCAAATATTTGTTTTGAATAGTTCAAAAATCTGAGAAAATATGTTATTCTATTGCATTGCAAGTGTGCCAATTTGCATATATTATCATTTCAGATAGCAGATTTCTTAAAATAATAAAAATCAAAATTTCACCTGTCTGTTTGAAAAGTAAACAACATGCAAATTATTCCTGGGTTTTCAAAGAACCATTAATTTAATAATCTTGGGAACAAAAACTACTTTAAACTCAAATCCACTGTTTGCAGTTATTAATACAGGTTCCTAGGAAGCATTTAGACTCGATGTTTAATAATCACCCTCCTTTGGGGTTATATAAGAGAGTGAAGATCAGCAACGCCAAATAATAGAGTGCTGGAAGATCAGTAATTTTGAACCAACACATGCATATTTAATTTGATCTGCATTTTGAAGTCATACATCCTGCCCCTATTTTAAAATGATACCTTCGTGAAAACAATATCAATTTCTGAAGGAAATACGTTGCACGGAACATTAAATGCTTCTCCCATTTTGAAAATTGGTTGCATTAACACCGAGGCCTTACACAATTAGATGATGGTAGATTTGCATATGTTCTTTGCAGATTAGAATTACAGTTGTAGCACTTTTCACCCCACCATTTCTGTGCTAGCTCTCTGCAAGTTTCAATAAACTAATTCCACTCTCTTGCCTGTACTCTACAGCACTGCAATGTTTTTTTCTCTTCAGACATTTTTCAACCTCCTTTTGAAAACCAAGACACACCTACCACCTGCATATACTCAAGCAGTACACTTCAGGCCCCAACCACTCACTGCATAAGAAAAGATGTTTTTGATGTTGACCTCGATTCTTTTGCTGGCCACCTTAAAATAGCGTTCATTAAATCCCAAACGTTCCATCAAAGGGAAGGGTTCCTCTCTATCTAGACTTCTCATTGTTTTGAGAACCTCTATCAAATCTTTGTAACTTAAGTTTCTCATCCCTAGAACCAATTATCCTATTTGTTTTCTACATCCATGCTATTGCTTCACAAAATTCTAAGGCAATTAGTAATGATGGAAAAAGCTGTGGAAAAGCTTCCCTGCAGAACAAATGTACTTGTTTGTTCACGTTTGGAAACATCAGGGCATCTTAGAAATGCATCTATTTATACACAGACACAAGGAAATTTACATGTTCTGAATTCACTTCTCCTAAATGTCTTCTCCTTAAGCATCATTGTTCAGATAGGTAACCTGTTCCGTTCTAACCCAAATACACCACTAGGTGGCATGGAAGGTCAGTCTGCATTTGCACTTCAGTCATTCCTCCCTCTCAAGTGAAGCAATAGCATGACCACCATTTCATTTTCTTCCTAAAAGCATAGAATAGATTGTAAGGCTGACATGAATTAAAACTATGAACATGAATCAGCTTGCAATTATCTAGTTTGCACTGCACTCAAAACCAAGGCATATTAAAACTATTCTGGCCTGATAGCTCAAAGAAAAATGGAGTTGAAGTATAATTTCTGGCATTCAACCAAATTGAGCAAAGCAATTGAATATGGATTTTCCGAACATACCGGTAAAAATACTTTTTTTTAACTTGCAGACTCAAAGAAAACTGACCATAAATTATTTTCAAGCACTACTGTCACATTTCCGATCAGAAAATTAAATCCCATCTTGGAATAATATTGACAGTCATGTATTGTTCCTTATGATTCATCTGATTCAAGTAAGTATTGGGCAAAAATGCCAATTAGATACATATTTATTTGTCATTTTTTGCCTTTCATTTCTCCACATACAATCATTTTGCCTGGTAAGTCTTCTAACTCCATGTCCAAAACATTTCTCTCAATTCTTACCCTTATAAGCAACTAGTCTATACTTTTTTAGTCCAGATTATTCAGGAGTGCAAAAAGACTAGTAATCTTACAGATCATTGCCCACAAACCAAACCTGAGTTTTATTTACTTAAGGTAATTTGTCTGAGTCATGTATGTAGCGATGGTTTCTATCTATATAACAAAGATCCTATGATGAGATGAAACACTGCAGAGAGAACCTAATTGTCAGCAGTGCAGCATAAAAAGTATTTTTCAACTGTTTTGCTGAATTTTCAGAGGTACGTGTGAAGCCAGTGTCCCAATACACTCAACAGATTCCCCCCCAAAAAAGAGTGGCCAGCCACAGGAAGTCTACACATTTAATATGTGTCAAAGATACGTGTGTAAATGAAGTGGAGTTGGGGGAGGGGAGTGTAATTATAGCCCTTGTATCTCATCATGCTGTTAGTTTGAAACAGGGTTATTCAGTCTATATATTAATATCACTGTACAAAGAGAACCCAAATAAAAAAAACCATGAGTGAAAATCACTAATTAAACGGACAAAGGTATTTCTTGTCAGTATCCTCCTCAGATCTTGACCATATTGTCCTATTATATCTCTTTTCTTCTCAGTTACAGGGACTTACCATTATGCAATTTTACTGTCACATTTCTCAACAGACTTTACATCTCAAGCAATTACTTCTCATCTTGCAGCGTTTGAAGCAGCAAACAAGATACACATTACTGTAATTAGAGGGAGACATAACTATGTGGCCCTATGGGACCGATCTGGTTATGTTGAGAATAAGTTGTAAGACAAAGGGATGATATAAGATGATGATAGTCAAAGTTAGGTTAATAACAACAGGGAGATGAGGCAAAGTTAATATGAAAACATATTGTAAGTGAACAGAGGATTGAAGGACCAGCTCAAGAGGGACAAGGGCTGGATAAACAGCAGTACAAGGGAAACACCAGTATACCAAGAGCATAGACAATGTCTAAGGTCAACAAAGAAAGATCAAATGTATATGGAAATGACAAAATTAATTGGGACACAAGGTGGCTAGTTCATGAGGCTAGAAGGTGAGCTTGTCTTTGAAGCAGATGGTTCAAGATATGTTTTTCATTTGGTTTTCTCCTTATTTATTTCACTGTGTTTCATTTCACTTTTCTCAAATCTGTAAGAACTTTTGCTATTGATTCTAGCAGTATTCTGAGTCTGCTGCTGCAGTCAGGTTTTTTAATGCAAATTCTACACAAGTGCAGCAGAATGAAGTCCCTCGAGTACATTTCAGGATGGAATTCAGTTTTGTATTTGTATTAGTATTGCCTTCTACCGTCTGCTAAAAAAAAGCTTCAATCATTTGAACACCTGGATCTGTGCAAGTACCATGTATAAAATCTATTCTGAAGAAAAATCATAATTGATTCAAAATATGAACTCTATTTCCAATGCAACAGATGCTGCTAGACCTATCGAGCATTATCTGCAATTTCAGCTTTTGTTTCAGATTTCCAGCATCCAAGGTATTCTGTGTTTATTCTTATACTAATACCTGTCAATTTGACATGAATACAATTTTTTCAAAATTGTTTGTCCATCAATCAACTATTATAATTCACATGTAGGTATTCCAGAAGCTTAACATTTCCAGTTAATTGTAGACCACAGTATGGGCTCCAAATGTCTGTTTATTTCCAGTTATACCAAAACAGTTTCAGAACCATAAAAACTTAAAAGATTTTTTTTTGAACTAAGAAGAAAAGAACAAATGGGATCAATCTGTACAATAGCTACCTGAAATTCAGGCAAACCTCTGCTCTAAGTCACAATGAAACAGTAAGTATCATCCAGCAATGATGACCATTTACTAATAGAATAGATAAATGATCAATGCTGAGGGGAAGGGGACAGCTAGCAATAATTTGGGTTGCCCTTAGTTTTGTTTTATGTGGCTAATTCAGAATGCCCAACTTATTGCTGGGCACATACCTCAGTCCCTTGAAATGTGTGACCATACTCTTTACATATACATGGGCACACATGGACAATTACGCACTATACAAAGCGTTTCTTCTGCCCAGGAATAAGTAAACACTTTTCAAAATATTTTGAATTGATAAGATGCCTTTTGCAAGCTCAGGATATCCCAAAGAATTACAATAACAAACTTCTAAAGTGTTGTCACTGTTGTAACACAAGAAATACTCTAACCAATTTGTGCACAATAAATAAATGACCAGATGGTCTATTTAGGTACAAAAATAGAAAGTGCTGGATTTCAAATTCAGATGGTAGAATGGAGGGGAGTGAATAGACTACATGGAGGTAGTACCCAGAGAGAGAGAAAGAAAGGAAAAGGCAAGCAAACAGATTGCTGATGATAAGTGAGAGAGAGATTAAGATTTGGTTAAAAATGAGTTGATAAATATCAGGGAGCCGAAGAGATCGCATCTGCTCATTGTTTGCAATGTCTTGAAGGGATAGGCAGTGCCTCAGCTTATTGTAAGATTTTACCTCCAATACTTCCTGAGTGCTGCACTAAAATACCATCTAGATTATAGTTCCATGTCTCTGGTGGGTGACTGCTGCAATTCACAGCCTGCTGTGACTCAAAGATGGGGGATGCAACCAATCAAGACTGACACCTTGTAAAAGAAAACACCAGATAGCTGATCTGAAGAGCGTTTTTTTAAAAAATCAAATAGATTTGATAATTTTGTAATTTAACCTAATAGCACTTTTATCAGATTATGCAGTCCACATTGCAAAAGCTAAATTTTGCAAGTGCAGCTAATTACCTGCACAGATTGCTGCTGGTAGTGAGCAACAGTGCTATGTGATTCAAACTGTTTCTTCACACTTGCTAGACCTCCAGGCAAGGCACGAGCTTCTTCTTCTGGAGCCTGATGGAATGATGGGAAAAAATATTACACTTTTGAAAATCCCTTTGATAACTAAGTTGCTTCTAAAGCCTGAGAATCTCAATATGTCGACATTGTGTGATTAGTCTGTTTTACCAGTGGTTTTTATAAGTGATGTCAAGAAAGGCTACTAATCCCAAAATATTTTGCATAACCATGTGTAAGAAGCTATTTTAGATCATCCAAACTGGAATTCTTCATTACAAATTCAAAAGTACTTCTGCAGAGGTTCTATTCTCTAACTGTAAGGGAAGATGGAAGAAGAGAATGGAAGACTGATAAAGAATAGAAAGATGAAGATTAAAAAAAAAGCAGGAATCAGCAATAATACAGTGTGGAGTTGGAGGAGCACAGCAGGCCAGGCAGCATCAGAGGAGCAGGAAAGTGGATGTTTCAGGAAATTTCTGAAGAAGGGTCCCGACCCGAAAAGGCAACTTTCCTGCTCCTCTGATGCTGCCTGACCTGCTGTGTACCTTCAGCTCCACACTGTGTTATCCCTGACTCCAGCATCGGCAGTTCTTACTATCTTTCAGGAATCAGTAATCTGTGCTAGATTAAATAGTTGGGCAATTTACAAACATTCATTTTGCTTCAGCACTATTAATTTATTATCAAAAAAACATGCTATTATAACATTCACATTTGCTGACTTCAGATTACTGATCAGCAATTTTAATGTTATCAATATTACTGCACCTTTGCTGGAACTGTAAAACTTGCTGGAGAAAAGCGATTACCAAGAAATTACCCAAAATATCTAAACCTTCTTAAATTTGATTTTACCAGAAAATATTGAAAAATTACTTCAAAAAAATCATCCCACCCCAGCACATCATTAGTGTATGCAGGATAATAATGGCATCCTTCTAAACTCAGTAGGTGTACCTTGTGCCAGTTAACTCTAGGTATCTTCTAAAGTTGCATTTGTGAGGCGGAGGGGTGGGGAGGAGGAGCGGTATTTGGGAGGAAGCAAAATTTGGAGGTAATGTGGCAAAATGTTTCGGATGTTTTGAACTATCCTATCTCTTGATTTGAAAATACCTGGTGCTGGCATCCATTAAAAGAAAATGCAACAAAATATCTTAATTTTCAGCAGTATCATAACCCATCTTCTTACTATAGGAAAAATGAAAAATTCCATTCATAATGTCCTGTTGCAGTACTGAATACTCAGTCACAACCAGTGAGGTGAGGTACGGTATTTAATCTATGCCATCTTGACTGAAAGCAACAGTATTGATCTTTTCATTTTCACTGAGTAAAAATTAGACTTCTTGATGTTACCAGCTAATGTTTTAGATTCAACAAGCTACATCATTACATAAGCTGATATTGCACTAAATAATTTTACTGTTCCTCATGAATTTCTTAAATTTTAGTGTTTACAAAGAATTGCCAAAAGACAGATATTGATAACTATATCAGCATGTACACAATTGTAAGTAACTAGGTCATTTAAAGTTTTGCACGTTCAGGTGTCACCTTTTGCACCTTTGGAATGAGTTTGCAAGCAAACACATTCCAAGTGTTGTAATGTAAATCAATGAAAGTCCATTGATCACCACCAGTTGGTGAATAAAACACAAATTAGTTCCAAAATCCATCTTAATATTACAGAAGTAGGAAAGTACATTTTTTTTATTTACCTTGTGCCTTGCAGTCCCCAGTTTTTTTGGCATTTCCCAAGTTAATGAATAACAGCAAGTGGGTATTCAGTCACAATTATATGTTTCTTAATATGCCACATACTTTCTTAGCAATCAAACCATCAGACTAGAAACATGATATCTTCCTATTGAGTGTTTGATTGAATACTGGAAAATCAACCAACATAGTTGCTGGTAACCAGACAAGCACTAATAAAGGAATTGAATCAAAAATATGGTCAAAATCATAATTTAATGGTCAATTACACATTAACCATACCTCAAAAAAATCAGCTAACATAAGATTGACGCATTATGTAAAAGTTAACTATTTTCCCCCCATGGAGTTCTTTTGAAACCTATCCATAAGACTGATGTGAGTGAAAACATATGGAATAGGAGCAGAAGTAGGCCATTTGGCCTTTCAAGCCTGCTCCATCGTTCAACAAGCTTGTGGCTGATCTATTTGTGTTCTGACTTCTACATTCCCACCCATCCTTGAGAACCTTTGTTCCCCATGCCTAACAAGAATTTAATTGTAGAACATAGAACTGTACAGCACAGTACAGGCCCTTCAGCCCATGATGTTGTGCTGACTATTATCCTACTAAGATCAATCTACACTGCATATCCTACATTTTATTATCCTCTATGTGCCTATCCAAGAGTTGTTTAAAAGTCTCATTAAAGTTTTAAAGTCAAATTATCTTTGCCTTAAAGATATATGATGGCCTCACCTCCATTGCCTTCTGATACAGAGAGTTCAAAAGTCACGCAACCTTTAGAGAAACATTAAATCATTTCGTTTCTGTTCTCAAAGGGTGTTTAAAACAGTGTTCCCTAATTCTGGACTCAGCCACAAGAGTAAACATCTTTTCCATGTCCACCTTGTCAAGACCATTGCTATATGCTTCAATTAAATCATTCTTCACTTTTCTAAACTATAGTGAAAACAAGTCCAGATAGTCCAATCTTTCCTCTTAAGATAACCCACGTATTCCAGCTATCAATCTGGTAAACCTCCTTTGAACTGCCTTCAATGCATTTACATCCTTCCTCAAATAAGGAGACCAAAACTTCACACACTATTTGAGATGTGGTCTCACCAATGCCCTTTACAAGTGAAGGGCACATTTTTTCGATTACGTTAAATTCCTCTGACATTCCATTAGATTTGTTAACCACTTTTATCCTGAATACGAACTTTTTTGTGACTCAAGCACTGGAATCCTTAGATTCCTCCACAGTTTAATTTCTGAAATCATTCACTATTTAAGTAATACTCTGCTTTTTCATTCTTCTTTCCAAAAAAAGTATGCATACTCTGTTTTCTGCCTGCCAGCCAGCAAATCTCTATCCCTATTAGTATGTTACCCACTATTCCACAAGCTCCAGTGCAATGCAATAATGTTTTATGTGGAATCTTGTCAAATGTCTTCTGGAAATCTAACTACAGTACATCAAGGAACACCCCTTTATTGACAGTGTATGTTACCTCTTCAACAAATTCCAATAAATTGATTAAACACAATTACCCTTTTGTAAAACCATACTAACTCTTTGTGATTACCGTGAGTTTTTCCAATTGCCCAGCCATAACTTCCTTAATGAGCAATTGTAACACCATCCCAAGGACAGACTGACCCATAGGGAAGACTTTTCCCAGTCTCCAAACAACTTAGACATTGATGAAAATGTGGGGAGAATAGTGTGAGATTGGCAGTGAAAAATGCCCCATTTTCCAACCGATCATTGAATGGCAAGATGAGATTGTTATTAATTCGCAGTGAGAGGCCTATTTGCATAGATTAGCATGTATTAACATTCTCGTCATTATGTCATCTTGCCTTTTCTTTATGCAGTTTGCAATCTCCCCACCTGCCATGTGGAAATGAAATGGTGAAAATTCCCAGTCTGAAAGTCAGAGCTGTAACCTGACCATTCCAACTCCCGCTTATTCCTCCGGATCTCTATCAGTCACCCACATCTCAGCGCACACTCCACAGGCAGTGACCATAAGCAGATTCCCTCCAGTAGGACCTCCAGGTTGCCATTGGCTAAGAGGGAAGTCAATTCCCCTCTATCCAATATGCCTGGGGGAAATAAATGAACCATTCAGCCAGCTGCAGGCCGTCATCACTTGACCAAGTGCACAGCTGGCCTCCAAAGATGGCACTGGCTCAATAAATCCCGGGAGGGCCTGTAAACAGCCAATACTTACACCCGTGGTGAGTGGGAGAAAACAGCAAGCAGACATCCCTTTTGGGGTGGTGAGGGAATGGAGCATAGGTAATGAGGCCAGTTAGGGAAAATAGACTGAGAAAATTTCCTAGGGTTCACAGAAAGTAAAGATCCTCATCAAAATTGAACTTAACAGATTTTTAGTTAAGTGTCACCTCATAGTTTTCTAAATTATGCCTCCATTACTATTTGAACGGAGGGGATATATTTTTTCCTTTCCAGTTGGTTGGAACCTTTCTAGAATCTAATGGATTTTGGAAAATTAACACCAACACATTTACTACCTCAACAGTCATATCAAGACCCTCGGATGAATTCATCAGGACCGAGAGTCTCATCAACCTGCAACTTCATCTGTTTGCTCAGTACCACTCCCTTAGTGATTATAATTTCACCAGGCTCCTCTCTTATTTCAACCTCCTGATTTACAGGAACTTGATTAGATTTGTATACACTATAATGAATAAAGAAATAAAATATCTGTTTGCTACGTCTGCCATTTCATTATTAGCTGCAATTAACTCCCCATTCTCACCCTCAAGAGGATGAGCACAGATGTTACTTACACTATTCCTTTTTAAATACCTATAGAAACTCTTGCTAGCTGATTTCGTTATTAGTTTCTGTTAGCTAGCTGTTAGTTTCCTCTCGTGCTCCAATTTATTTGTCCTGATTAACCATTTAGACATTCCCTGCTGTTGATTGCATTTTGACCAGTCATCCAAACTGCCTCTCAACTTTGTGCCATTGTGTAAATTTTCCATAATTTTGATGTTCCTTTTAACTTCAATAGTTAACTATGGACAATGGGTCTTCCTCTTGGATTATTATTTAAAGCAGGAATGTACTTATTCTGAGTATTCTGAAATATCTCTCTAAATATCTGCCACTGCTTTTCTTCCCAACTATTTCCTAGCTTAATATCCCAATCTAGATCAGCTAGCTCAGCTTTCATGCTCATTTTGTCTTTTTTTTAAGTTTTAAAATGCTGACCCTAGACTCATTCTTCTCCCTTTTCAAACTGAATGTAAAATTCAATCATTTTATGATCGCTGTTCCCATAGGTGCCTTTACTCTGAGATAATTAAATGATGCTGTTACGTTACACAACATGAAGTCAAGTATAGTCTGTTCACTATTCTGTTCCAGAATATGCTAATCTAAGAAATTATCTCAAAAGCATTCTATTTGAACTCTACCTGTTACTTTTAGGTTTTTAAGTGGCCCTAAGTTGGCCGCAGGGAAGGACACCTGTCCTTAACCCATTCCATCCCAGATTTATTCAGCAAAAATCAGGAAAATGACAACATCTTCGCTCCTTATATTTCTGCAGGACCTTCCGTTACCACCAGAAGGTTATAGTAAATTCCATCTGTTGGCTTTGTGTCAAGTCACAGGGAGTCCCAATTCATATGGTTCGGATAACTACATTTACACTGCAACTTTAATATCACTATGGCTAAGGGCGTACTGGAACTTTACTCAAAAGAGCTCTCAATTAAATTCATCCCAAACTCACTTCACTGAGATGCTTTACAATGCATGGACTTCTAAAATGTCTCATATGGGTGTAAACTGAAGACAAAATTATCCCAGAAATCAGAGGTCAATGTTCTAACTTACTACAGCAAATTATAACTATATTTGGGGAGAAAATCTTTTCAAGAATAACACTGTACAGTAAACCTTTGTAACGTATTGGGATTCTAAATCTTTATGAATTACATGAAGACATACAGATTATGAATACTGGTCAGATTAATACTGAACATGTTTAATAAAACAGGTTTAATAGCTATCAGGATAGCCTTACATCTTGATATTGCAACCATCAATATATTCAGGATCAGCATAGCCAAGTGTGTGTTAGCCTCAGCCTCTTAGCTAAGATTATCTGGTGAAAGTAGAACTTCAATTAACTCAACATGTTTTCAGCAAAATATTGTATGGGTAATGTGAAGCTTGAAGACCTAGTATAAAAAAAATACAGTTGAGAGTAAATGTTAACATGATATAATTGAAATTCACTCTGGAGAATCTGTAAATTGACCAATAGTGAATTACTACCTGTTTTACACTCTGCCAGTTTTCATTTCTTTTGACGTGGATAATCTCACATTTATCCATATTGAATTTTTTCTACCTCAATTTTGTCTCCTCATTTAATAGGTCTATTTCCCTTTGTGACTTCCTACTTACTAGCATCTATTCAACTTAGTGTAGTTCTCAACTTAGTTTCATTTGCAAACATGGACATGCTGTTATTTATACTATCACTCTATTTCTTAATTCAGGTCAAGATGCGTGGAAAATATGACTTGTCACATTTCACCAATCAGAATATGTTTTTCTTTTTTCCTTACTGTTTGCCTCGTACCTTCCAACCAATTACTCAGAGTGTAAACTGGGCTGTCAATTCACCACTGCCTGTCTTTCATTACTGACTACAACTAGTTTCACCCCAACAACTTGTTCATGAAACTTAAGTGTAACAATATTATGTGTAGATGTGTATCACCAAACATGTAATCTACCAGAAATAGTCAGTTATAAATATCTGCAGCAACTAGCCACTACAAGCATTCAAGCTCCTCAAATATACCAAATGGCATCATATTTAATTTCTCCATTTTTGAGTTCTATATGACACAACAGTACTTACAGAACTTTATAAATATTTAAAAGATTTTGTAAAGGATAAAATGCAAACAACCCCCTTCACACAGAAAGAAATTAATCACCCTAGATAATCTATGAAATTCCCTTACAGGATTGTGTTCAACTTGGAGTGGTTCTATGATCATGACCAACACCCAAGAAAGGCACAAAAAGTTAGGCTATGCCATAAAAACAGGAAATGCTGAAAATACTCAGCAGTTTCAATAACATCTGTGAGGAGCAAAAAATAGAAAGGTCATCGACCTGACACATTAATTCCGTTTCTGTCTCCACAGTTGCCAGAGGACCTGCTGAGCTTTTCCCACACATTCTGTTTTCATTTCACACTTACAACATCTGCAATATCTTGTTGTTTGGGTGTGGTATACTTCTACTTTTCATAAACTTCTGTGAAGGTAATGAAATAGATATGCGCTTACATGTAAAATTTAGATAATATTTGTAAACTTGATAAGTGAAGCCTTTGACTCTATTACTTGTCCCCAAGTCAAAGATGCAAAGACAATGCAGATACAAAAGAACTTCCATTAGTAAACGCAGTCAAAACAATAACGTGTTGCAAAATATCTCAGTTCTGTGTCCCAAACAAGCAGACAATGCATCTCTTCTACGGGTCCTTCCATCACCCAGCATTTGTTCCACTTCTACAGTTTAGCTTTTGCTCAAAATTATCTACTGGTTGAACAGCAAATATATCAGTCTTTGGACAATAGAAGTTAAGAATGGAAATGGATATTGGTACTTACCACAACTGCAGAGTTGTTGCTTGCCTTCTTAGAAACAGCTGCTTGATACATGGCCAATCGGTCCTTAAGTGAGACAGTCTCCTGGATATCAAGAGGCACAATGTCAGCCCGGCTAGGCTCATCAGATGTGAAAGCGGCTGGAAATGAGAACATAACTGAATTTTAGGGCTTCATATTAAAAGCTCATTAAAGGTGTGGAACAAGGTCCTTAATACATTATTATGAATCATAAAGTCATAGAGTTGTACAGCACTGAAACAGACCCTTCAGTTCAACTCATCCATACTAACCAGATATTCTAAACTGATCTAGTCCCATTTGTCAGCAATTTTCCCTTATCCCTCTAAACACTTCCTATTCATACACTCATCCAGATGTCTTTTAAATGTTGTAATTGAACCTGCCTTCACCACCTCCACTGGCAACTCTTTTGTAATATGAACTCTTTGCAAGACGTTACTATTTATTTCCCCAAGTTCCATAGCTTCCATGTCCTTCTCCACAGCAAACACTGATATGAAATGTTCATTTAGTATCTCACCCATCTCCTGTGTTTCTACACATAGATAGCCATATTGATCGTTAAGGGGCCCTATTCACTCTCTAGTTATTCTTTTGATCTTAATATATTTCTAGAATCTCTTTAGATTCTCCTTTACTCTATTTGCCAAAGCCTTCTCATGTCCCCCTTTTTTTCTCTCCTGATTTCACTCTTAAGAGTACATCTACTGCCTTTATAGAGGTCATCTCAGTGGTTAGCACTGCTGCCTCACAGCACCAGGGACCTGGATTTGATTCTAACCTCGGGTGACTGAATGGAGTTTGCACATTCTCTACGTGTCTGTATGGGTTTCCGCCGGTACACTGGTTTCCTCCTATAGTCCAAACATGTGCAAGTTAGGTGGATTGGCCATGCTAAATTACCCGTAGTGTCCAGGGATGTGTAGATTAGATGCAATAGCCATGGGAAATGCAGGGTTACACAGATAGAATAGAGCAGTGGGTCTGGGTGGGATGCTTTTCAGAAGGTTGGTGTGGACTTGTTGGGCCGGATAGCCTGTTTCATTACTGTGGGGATTCTATTAAATAAAAACAAGCCCTCTAGGAATTGACTCAATTCCAGCTGTCTATACATGATATATGCCTCCTTCTTTTTCTTGACCAGAGCCTCAATTTCTCTAGTCATCCAGCATTCCCTACACCTACCAGCCTTGCCCATCACACTAACAGGATCATACCGTCTCTGAACTTTTGTTATCTCATTTTTAAAGGCCTGCCACTTTCCAATCATCCCTTTACCTGCGAATAGCCTCCCCCAATCAACTTTTGAAAGTTCCTGTCTAATACTATAAAAATTGGCCTTACTCCAATTTAGAACTTTAACTTTTTGATTAGCTCTATCCTTATCACAATGGTAACCCTCACTTTCCATCACGACTCCATTTGGTGAGAAAATAGAATGAGTTAAAAGAAACAAAGTGGACGGAGACTCATTTTATTTTCATTATTCAAGTTGTTTGATGAAGGCCAAGTTATCCTAGCGATTAATTTTCTAACATAATTCTTTACATAAAGCATTATTTTGCAAGGCAGAATAAAAAAATTCTCGAAGTAATCAAACCTAAAAGATTATAGTATCAAAAACAAAGAGGTCTTGGGGCCTTCAGTACCTTCAATTAGAAATGGAATGTGGCTTGCAATTATTGAAATCCACTGGGCAACCTTAGTACAGGAAGAAAAGCAACACGGAAGTAGTTTCTTTAAAATTCATACATGGCATGTGGGCTGTTGTTGCTCATCTCGTGACCTTCAAGAAGATGGTGGTTGGCTGCCGTCTTGAATGCAATCTTGTAACTTTACTGTAACAATGAAATTATTTGTTCTGTTCCCAAATACTTTTGTACTTGCTGCTGTGCCTAAAGCTTCTGCGCAAAGTGAATGTTTAAAATCATTTTTAAAACATATTAGTGTACGAGAGCTGACCAAAGTTGTCACTTTAAATAGAGATAGTGTAAGTAGCTTTGTACCTAGTTTACCATGATAGTACACAGACCTCTATCCACCACGTAAAGTTGTCACTTCTCAACAAATGCTATTTCAATGTTAGAATTTGTTCTTTGCTACAGATTAAAATGGAAGAGATTTTCCACTAGCAAGTTATTTGATACAGGACGTGTTGTTAATCATAATGTTCAAAAGTACAATTGAGGCCAGCAAGGCTGATTATTGGCATGAAACACTTCAAAGTACACCCTCCAGGCTTATCTATTTGCAAAGATACATAGTTGAAACTTTCTCCGTGACAATGCCTTGACAAATCCTAACTGATTGACCAACTAATCACTACCATTTTCTCATGTGGTACAAATTGTAGCTCTCTTTGAATGTGGTTTTTGTCTACCCTGCTGAGTGCAAAATGAAAAGCTTCACCATGTCAGTCACTAGCAATACTCAAGTTGTGTACTACAAAGCAACTATTAATAATTAAAAATATGTGCATCTGCATAGGTGTGGAGGAGGGGTCTCAGTGTGGCATTTTAGAGCATTCTCCAAGTAGGGCACTCAGATTCAGCATTTCACACAAACCTACAGGGCTTATGACCAGATGGATAAAAAGAACAAATGAGAAGGAATTTTGTAATGATACAGTACCCACCTGTACCATATGTTCTGTGGATGGCTTATTGCAAAGTGATGCCACTTCACATCAGATTTTCTCCTACGAACTTGGACTTGTTCTTCAAATATTGAACTTATGAATGACATGTGATTGCGCACCATCCATAAACATAGAATTGAAAACTTCAAGCCATTTTTGATGGCTTGTACAATGCCTTTACAAGATGTTGTGTGCAATTGTCTTGCACTTGATGCATACATGGGAGTATAGAAGAAATATATTTTAGATGACACTTCCAGGAGGAGATTGTCCTTAAGTAGCAAGCAGAGCAGGCCATGTATGAGTCATTCAATTCATTATTTCACAGACAACAACCATTAGTCATTTAGCGGAATCCAGTGCAATCAATCATTCACCTTCAATGGAAAATGCACCCCTTTAAATAGCAGTAGGAATATTGTAAACTTCTGAAGATGTGCAAGTGCTACAACAGGCAGCGAACTGTGCTTATTGGATGTTACCATGAATAGAGGAGGAAAATGTAATTGTTGAATTCCAAGCAGGAACAGTTAGTCCACAAAAGCCATGGAAACATCTTCTATCTGTATGTACCATGCTGCCCTGTCAGGCCTTTGATCCTCAAAACTACAAACAATAATTTTATCTTTGTGAGAAGGAAAGATCAGCCCACTGATAGATAAGACAAAATGGTCATGTTTCTATTATTCTGTTATTAACCAAATCACACTAATTTGTATAAATTTGTAATATTGGTTCTGTTTCAGATGCTATATATCAAAACAATGTTAAAATGGAATTGATCTGAAAAATGGAAATCCCATGTACTTATTTGTCTAAATATGTCTTGTCTGACTCAAATTAAGTTCGCTTTTGAGTACAGTGAATGAAGCAGTATCGTCTTATCTTTTCGTCTTGATGAAGGTGCAACTCCAGCTCAATATATGAGAGATTTTATTAACTTCAATAGCTTGAAAACAAGTGGCTTGATTGACAGAAGATAGATCTAAATTAGCAACAAAACCATATGCTATTAGATTTCCAGTACATCACTGGGTGGACAGTTAAGAAACCTGTCCAGCAACCACGTTTTCAATTACAATTGCTACATGGTGCAAGTCTTATACAAAGTAGGAAGCTTCATGAGAAGAAATATTTATAGGCTCACAAAATATTATATTTTCTCAGCAGTAAATGTTAGTTATACTTTGGAGAACAGTTTCCATCTTTATCGTATATCACTTTTTTCAGTTATATTACAATTTTTTTTAATTGAAGAAATTGCAGTAAGTATCACTAACATGCCATCTACTTTATTTCAAATGATCTGACTACATTAAATCAGAAGAATTTTAACCCTAAAAGTGGAAAATTTATGTACAACTACTATGAAATATATGACTCTTACATGGCATCTGTGAAGCCTTATGAAGAGACCATTAACAAACTGTCCTAACCAAGAAACATTTAGTAAAGGTAATTTTTTGTTTCTGTAGAATATGATCAGAAAACAGAATTATTTCTCGACTAATCCTTTGCCATGCCAGTTAGAGCAATTCAAAATTTAAGGAATTCCAAATGTACACTGGAGGCTTGCGGGTTGACAAAGACTGCCATCGGTTCACTGAATGTTCCATTTTAGAACCATTGCTATGAGTTATAACTAGCAAGCAATTACAAACCTATCAGGTTTATGCTATTAGATCTGATACTTGCACAGCAATCTCTTAAAATAAATTGTGTCATTTTTGTCACTGTTTAAAACATAGAGGTCACATATGCAAGCTATTAGTCAGGCAAATTAAAAAAGTATAAGCAAAAATACTGAATGAATTTTGAACTGATTGAGAGAGAGATGGTTCTAAAATAAACACATTTTATTATCAAGAATGTACATTTGTCATTATATATTAACTAAATGAATGTTATGTGATAGACTTAGTCTATTTCCTGACATGTTAGGAGTGGAGCCAAGGATTCATTTAACAGGGGAAGGTAATCACAGAACCCAGAATGGCTGAAAATGTTTCAGCTCATTGTATCACATGATCAGTTGACTATGAAATTAAAGTTTAGAAGAGTGAGACTTGCCATTCTTTTCACATTAATCATCAGCTTTCCAATTATTCACTCATTGAAAGATCTGGATAATAAATGCTTGGCAACAACTTTACTTCATGACAGATCTTTCAATGGATAATTAATGGCTGTTCCATATAAGAAAGCAAGAATCAATCAAATCCATAGATAGCAGGAACTGCAAATGCTGGAGAATCTGAGATAACAAGGTGTAGAGCTGGATGAACACAGCAGGCCAAGCAGCGTCAGAGGAACAGGA